CTTCTTCTTCTCCGTTACCTTTCTCTACCAAATATGACATTGATCGACTCTAGAGCCAAGATCCAAATTCGCAATTTACACTATTTGCAATTCGCAGTGAAACGAGATCCAAGAGAGCATCCTTATTATGATGAGGAAGATTTCAAGCAGTTGGAGGAATTTAGAAGTAGGGTAACAAAATTAAATAAGAGAGACGATAGCAGAGGCTCGTCGGAGCAAGAAGCGGCACCAGAGGAGACGAGTACCGGTGATTCCACCGCTGATGTTTCCCCTTTTTTTGAGAGAAATAGGGTTTCGACAAACCCATAAAAAAGCTTTGTCTTATGGACAATGTCGTGGATGAGGATCGATGGACATAATGGGATGGATCGATCTAACCTTCTCGTGGATACGGATCGGTGGACATAATGGTATAGATCGTATCCATGACAATAGATCCAACCTGCAAAATCCACATCATAATGTTCATGATCGTATAACATAGATCCAAGCAAGGACTCAATACGTTGCTTTTGTAATATTTTCAATGGAGATTACAATTTCGCAGACCCTTTGTCTCATATATTTTTAGTATACAATACGTTCGTGGTCATGGTTTTGTGGTCAGTGTTCGTGGTCAGTGTTTGAACGAGTCTTTCAAATAAGAACGGATCATCCATATACACGACTCAAATGGTCATGGTATTTTGGTCACAAATCGACAAGCTATCCATGATAATCCATCCACAAATTGATGGTCATATTTTATGATATTTCGGTTGACAAATCATCATGTACACAAGTTACTGACGAGTTGAAAAAGCACGTCTACAATGACGACGATAGAGAGTATCAGGTTCTGAATTTGTCGTGATCAAACCAGGCACCAAATATCAAACCCAAGCATCAGATTCCGCCACTTGTGATTTTGTCTAGTTTTTGATATGGTTTTGATGTATGCAATTGGTCTCGTACTTTCACTTTATTCTAGTATGCTCATTGGAAACATCATCGAAGTTAGTTGGAGCGTTAACATGATAGGTTTAATTAGATTTATGCTTGTTTTATATGCTAAGCAATGTTGTAGTTATAGCATGTTGGATCCGTTACTCTTGAATTGAGAGAAATCGACATGTTGGAGTTGTTTTGGTGCTTCTTGCCATGCCTTAGCTTCAATCACTACCTTATAAATAGTTTCCGAGATCGAGAAGCATCTGTTATTGAAAACGAATTGTTTCCTTGCGATCCAAATGTTCCAACAAAGCCACGGGTAGAGCTCTCCATTGTTTAGTCTTGTCGGCAGTAAGTTAGGCTTTCCTTTTGGATATTAAACATGTTTGATAGCATTTCAGTGGCATTATGATTTGAAACAAACGATTGACAAACGTATATGAGAAGTTTGACCCTGGAGATGAGAAACAAATTTGCTAATTTATTAAAAAAAAATACATTATCCACATGGACAATACAAATAGTCAATAGATTGTTGTTTATTCAGCATCGTCCATAAGCACATCGTACCTATATACTTATCCACATGGACAATATATCAGAAGCTTAGTTGCACCAATGGTTGAAACATGTTCCATTAGCTCCTTTTAGATCCATTAATGGGAGAGTTTGATCCTCCATTGGCTTCCTCCACCTTCTTCTCCTCACGTTTTTATACATCATGAAGTTCCTAGCTCCCAAAGACCCTATTACTTCCAATTGGATAAGAGCTACAACGACAATATCATCAAGCAACACCTTCGTTGAGAATCTTAACAATCACAAAACTAAATTGAGAATCTTAACAATCACAAAATCATTTGAATTGGGTAATTGAAATTGTCAAATTACAGTATCCCACCTTCGTTGCCCCCATTGATTTAAACAATCTTAACAATCACAAAAACACGATTTAGAGATTGCAACGAAGGTTATAAACAAAGATACAAACACATAACAAGTTATAAGAAGCGTAATTCTTTAGTAATTATCACCATGAGATTCAAGCAAAATTGAATCAAATTTGGACTTGTACGTTTTATTAGAGTTAGACCTGGAACCCTCTTGAAAAAGAGCTCGTCATCGTTCATCTCCAGTAAAAAAATCTTAAATAGAAGAAAAATCAGATGCTGGAGAATCACAACTCTTTCGAATTGAGAGAAGAGACGAAACGTACGGACCCAAATGCTTCAGAAGCTTCTTCGATGCTGGAGAATCACAATTCTTCACTATGATTTACGTGACGGACCCAAAAGCTTTGACGATGTTGGAGAAGATTCGCCGTTTTCAATTTCTGATGAGACAGTTGTGAAGGAGATGAAGAAAAAGAAGCGAGATTTAAAACGAGGACAAATCTTGAATTTTAGTCCTAAACTATAAGAAGTGCCTTTCAAATAAGAAAATGTCTTTAATGTAATAAAAACATGGGATAATGCCCTATTTTGTAACCAACCCCTATTGTAAATGTGTCGTGAAATTATAGTATTCAAACATCAAATTCGAATATTTTACCACATTGACACCATGGCATCCGATTTAACAGGGTAACAAATATTTTCTAAATTTATGATAATTTTAATTAACAGTTTAACAATTTATGTAGGTTATTGGAAATAATATTTTATGTGGTTGAAATTTGCTAAATGTGAGAATTAGTGTTTTAAAACGCATGTTGAATTTTGTTCGGGTCAAAATTGATCGTTTACCCTTTAACTCTGCTAACCAATCAAACCCAAAATTTCGTGGTGCGGTGCAAGATCTATATTACGACT